AATGAAGTACAAATACTTACTAATTTTCTTCATTCGGAGAACTCACAGCTTTAAAAGTTTCAAGTGCGATGGCTGTTCCTTGTTGATCAAATTCCCTAGAATAACGATCAATCCAGTTTTAGATTGTGGTTACTTTGGGCACATGGCCATCTTCAATTTTCTCAGAATGCGCGAACCTCAACAGTTCCTTATGCATCTCCTTGGCTGTCATTTTATCCTTGGGGTTTAGATTTCTATTTAAAAAAAATTGTTTTAAAAAATTTACAACATTCGCTTTGATTCTTTGCTCTCCGCTCTTTTTTTCGAATTTAGCATTTGCGGGAGATGCCCAATCTTTGGGCATTTGAAATGTTTCTTCAATGTTTCTAAAAAAATTCACACTAGTTAAATTCGAAATAATCTCAATAAATCATAACGATTTTATGGACCTTTCGCTGGTATCATCTGTTCCAACAGATTTTTGATAATAAATGAATGCATTAGGTTCATTCATTTTAACTCCAATTCCATTTCCCATTTCAGCAGATTTTTGGTGATGAATGAATACATTATGTTCATTCATTTTAACTCCAATTCCGCTTCCCATTTCAGCAGATTTTTGGTGATGAATGAATGTATTATATTCATTCATTTTAACTCCAATTCCGCTAGACTCTCCCGTTTCAGCAGATTTTTGAAAATTAATAAATGCTTGATGTTCATTCATTCCAGCATCATTTTTTAAATAAATAATACAACAAAGTAAACAAATTATCAACTTATTTTTTGACTCAATCCAAATTTGAGCCTTAATTACCCATCCAGACTGATTTTTGATAGTGGGTGAACGAATTTTGATCATTTATTTCAACCTCAATTCTATCAGAATTTTCCATTCTGGTAGATTTTTGTAAATGAATGAATGTGGGTTGTTTACCCTTTCCGGTGTCATTTTCTAAATGAATAATATAAAAAACATTATTTTATTTTTGGGCATTAGTTTATGGCGACGGGTCGCCATGGCGACC